AACACAGGAGAACACGGAGAACACACAGAGAAGACAGGAGAACACAGAGAAGCAGGAGAACACAGGAGAAAGCAGGAGAACACAGGAGAAAGCAGGAGAATGCAGGAGAACACAGGAGAAAGCAGGAGAACACAGGAGAAAGCAGGAGAACACAGGAGAAACCAGGGGAAAGCAGGAGAAAGCGGCAGAACACAGGAGAAAGCAGGAGAAAGCAGGAGAACACAGGAGAAAGCAGGAGAACACAGAGGAAAGCAGGAAAACACAGGAGAATGCAGGAGAACACAGGAGAAAGCAGGAGAACACAGGAGAAAGCAGGAGAACACAGGAGAAACCAGGAGAAAGCAGGAGAACACAGGGGAATGCAGGAGAATACAGGAGAAACCAGGAGAACACAGGAGAAACCAGGAGAATGCAGGAGAAACCAGGAGAACGCAGGAGAAAGCAGGAGAACACAGGAGAAAGCAGGAGAACACAGGAGAATGCAGGAGAATACAGGAGAAACCAGGAGAACACAGGAGAAACCAGGAGAACACAGGAGAAACCAGGGGAAAGCAGGAGAAAGCGGCAGAACACAGGAAAAAGCAGGAGAACACAGGAGAAAGCAGGAGAATACAGGAGAAACCAGGAGAATGCAGGAGAAACCAGGAGAAACCAGCAGAACACAGGAGAAAGCAGGAGAACACAGGAGAAAGCAGGAGAACACAGGAGAAAGCAGGAGAACACAGGAGAAACCAGGAGAAAGCAGGAGAAAGCGGCAGAACACAGGAGAAAGCAGGAGAATACAGGAGAAACCAGGAGAATGCAGGAGAAACCAGGAGAAACCAGCAGAACACAGGAGAAAGCAGGAGAACACAGGAGAAACCAGGAGAACACAGGAGAAAGCAGGAGAACACAGGAGAATACAGGAGAAAGTAGGAGAACACAGGAGAACACAGGAGGAACCAGGAGAACACAGGAGAAAGCAGGAGAACACAGGAGGAACCAGGAGAACACAGGAGAAAGCAGGAGAACACAGGAGAAACCAGGAGAACACAGGAGAAAGCAGGAGAACACAGGAGAACACAGGAGAAAGCAGGAGAACACAGGAGAAACCAGGAGAACACAGGAGAAACCAGGAGAACACAGGAGAAAGCAGGAGAACACAGGAGAAACCAGG